GATCACGGGGTGGCCATGTATGATCCAGATTTAGCCGCGAGGTCTCTGTTGTATTGTTTTTGACATGGATGGTGGCCTTGCGCACAACAGGCAATATGCTGACACACCCGCCGTCCCTTTCAAAAAACAGTACAAAGTGCCCGCTGGCCTCACGAACATGACTCAAGATTTTTGCCCCAAAGTGTACTCTGTGTTCTGACAGGGATGATGGGGGGACCGCATCATATTGGTTACGCGGGCTCCGAATTTGGAGGCAGAGTGTGTTTTGTGATATGGATAGTTTGGGGGGGCGCATAGGGTCGGCGCAATCGGTCGCTTGGGGGAGGGGGTGTATATCAATAGGGAATAGTGGTAAATGCCCCTCCCCCGAGCAGATGAAGCAGGGATTTTAGAAGAGAGGCGACACAAGTTCGCTAAACCACCTACGCCCAGAGGGCTGGTGGGATTCATGCAGGTCCCCATGGACATTCACGTTAGCGCCTTGGTGCCTTCGCTTGTGAACGCTTGTTCGCAGGGAAGCTTGGTAGACATGACTGCGGTCCTCAGGGGGCCTTGGAGGAAGTATGGGCTTCGACTAGAACCTGAGCGCGCCCGTGATCTTGATCTGGTTGTGCACAGGATGGCGCTCAGGGAGGTGAATGAGGTCCCGTATCGGGGGCGGCCTAGAGGGGTGGATGGATACTTGAGCGGGGATGTATCATGGCGGGGGCCATGATGTCTCCCCAGATGTCATGGCGCCTCTTCTTATTTCAATACGTTCCCGCCCCCCCCCCCCCGGACCGCGCAAATGCTGTCAGCCATGATTTGCGCCCCACCTCTGTGACGCCCCCCCTCCTGGACGCCCCCGACGGTCAGCGTCCCTATGCGCTTTCTCCGGATCCTTCTCCCTCCCGCCCTCCCCATCGAGGACTCCACGTCACCCGTAGCAGTTTGGGCTCAGGTCGGTTCGAACCGCCGCCACCGAGCCGACTCGTCGCAAGAGCGCGGTGTTTTCGAGGGGCGCGCGCCATGGAGACGAGGCTGTTTGGCACATCACTCGAAGCTGCAACCGAGGTTGAGAGCCAGAAGTCTATCAAGCTGGGCGAAGCAGTCTCCAATACCGACGGGAGTTTCTCATCTGAGGAGGAGCTGATCGTTTCTCCACGTGGAAACACTCAGAGGCAAGCCGCAGCGGACCCCCGACGCCGTATCATATCGGCGCTTGCTTTGACCGGCATTGTGACCTTGGGCATCGTCGGCGCTCTAGGAGCAGCGTGGTTCTCCCGGAACAGCCAGGCGCGGTCGCAGCTTCAGGCTGGCATCACATCAACCTTGATTGATCTGGCGGCGTCCTCCTCTTCTCCCAAAAAGAAGAAAGGTTTGGCGGCGTCAGTGCGTGTGGCCGATGGAACAACCCAGGACCCCGGCGCAACAGAATGCCCCAGTTGTGCGCCGGAGTTCCCCACCAGTCCCGACCTGGTCATTCCCTTCTTCGAGCGCGATCTGTGCAAGCTGAAGACCACAGCAAAGTCGTTGTCTGTAAACGATCCGAATGGTATGTTCGGGGATGTGTACCTCCTATGGGTATCTACAAAGCACTCTTCCGAATTCTCCGACGAACTCAGAGAGGCCGCCGAGGCAATCTCCGCAACACACAGCGTGCAACTCATCGAGTTCACGGATCTGATGGAGTACACAGATTCGTTGAGTGGATGGCACGCCCAACAGGTTCTCAAGCTCAAGGCTGCGTCTCTTGTGAAAGCGCCGTACTACGTGGTGTTGGACTCCAAAAATACACTCATCAGACCTGTGGAGCCAGACGACCTCTTCACGAAATGTAATACTGCAAGAATCCAAGCGCAGTATACAGCTGATAAGATTCCAGTGCCGCACATTGATTGGTACAAAGCCTCTGCAAAGGCGCTGGGCATGGATCCCCCGTCCGAAGGTTACTGGCCAGCATCTATCACGCCTGTGGTATTCCATACACAGACAGTGCTTGATATGCTGGAGCACATCGGCGAGAAGTCAGGCATCGGTGCCCTGTGCGACGGTCCTCTATGTGACATGTTCGGCGCACGCGGTGACAGCGGCCAGGGCGCCACTGAGTTTACCATGTATACTCTTTGGGCGATGTCTCGGAGTAATTTCGAGTGCGTTCACTCGGTGCAGAAGCTGGACCACTTCAAGCTCGCATATTCGAAGTCTTGGGAGGAGAAGCTGAACAAGAAAATGGACGAGCATGGTTGGGAGGCAGGTTCTGTCACAATTGGTAACACAGACTCTGTTCATTCCTTCAATTGGCTGCCAGGGACCACAGCGAATGTACCGAACAAGTCTCAATTTCCGATTTCGGTCGAGGACCTCAGCAAGAGGTGGGCTGCCTCCCTGTGGCGTGGCATGCCAGAGCAGGCGGAGTTCCTTGCAGAGGTGAATCTCGTGACTCTGGAGGATGTCATCGGTGGGAGGCGGCAGAAGCCCATCATGTTTGGCGCGCAGCCCGCCTCCCTGGAGGGCCTGCCCAGCGAGACGAAGGAGCACCTTACCGACCTGCTTGTCAAGCTGTACACGCAGGCCGGCTTGTACGATTTCGGGACCCCGGACGAGCTCGTAGAGTGCGTGGTGGGATTGCATAATTAGGTGGCATGTTTTTGTTTATGTGTTGTGTCGCAGTGCGGTTCATCATCACTCTGTTTGTCCTCCTCGTTGCCATGCTACGTTTGTGAACGTTGTTCTTGTATAATGTTGAGCATCAACGGTGTAGTTTGAGGGTTGCCCAGTCTGGATTTCGTGTGTTTGTTGTTTTGTTATTTTCGTATTCCGGTTGGCGTGTTTGGTAGGGGGGTGGCATTGAATTTGATTCGTCGCCGGTCGACTGGTGAAGGAAGGCAAACCCGTCTTTGCATGAGATCCATGTAATTTATTGTAGTGTTTTATTTTTCCGCATGGAAGCCTGCGACCAGCTACAGACGCCTGCATGGGCTTTAGTGTGGCCGAGACATGAATGGGCAAAGTGCCCGATCAACATGATTGGCCCACACTTCCCTTCCAAGGAGGCTGCAATGCAAAGCGTTCGCGAGCCCGTTAATTGGCGAATCCTCCTCCCCCGCGAATCAAGCGTTTGTCTTGTTGTTGTTTTGTCGCGTGTCCTGCCCCTCCTGCTGCACAATATCTAGATTACGAGTGATTGCTGTTAGGCCGCCATTCCCGTAAAGCGGCAACCGGCGTGCGCTGATTTGCCCACGCGTTTCAGCGCATGGCATGGGTGAGTGTGAGTAGGATTTCAACATCGAGGACTCCACATCACGATCGCGATGCCACCATACGGTCCAAAGCGGGCTGTCTGGCGACCGCCAGCGCTGGGGGAACCAGTGAAAAAGGGTCCCATGCGTGCTGCTGCCTGCCGAGCGTCTGCAGGCGACACTGCCGGCGCCCAGAAGTTTCAGGGAAGCTCTAGAAAATCGGGGGGGCCCAAACAGTGCGGTGACCTCACCGTGTGGTGAGTCAGTGGGGATTCGGGGTCACAGCACGGTTCTGGCATGACGGACCGTGCGATGAGGCCTTCTTGGATTCCTAGGGCATCGCACGATCTGTCGCCTCACCGTTCTGTGGCCCCTGGAAAAGAAGTGCTTCCCTCTCCCTCCCCTTCTCGGTGGCGCGTCGAGGTGGGAAGGCAGAGGGGGCGGCCGTCTCAGAGGGCGGCGGGGCTTCTCGGAAATCATCTGGCCTTCCGGGAAGCCCTCTGCGGCTCGGGAGAGGCCAGCGGCGGCGTCGGCGTCGACGACGACGT